TGTGAAGGGGATGCCCAGGTCTGCTGCTGCCAGTCACCGTGTGGCTTCTTCCAGTTCAGTCTCTGAGACATACCTTCCAGCCATATCGTCCTGCTGGAAAATGTGGAGCCCAGCAGGTTATCAGCACTAGCCCACAGGCAGCTCCTGACTCCGTTGGCTCTGTGACTGGGTCTGAGATGGACATGAGAACCACCAGGGCCAATAAGATGCGCTGAGACTTTTGCCAGGCTGCTGGAGAAAGCCGCCCTAGAGGGGGGCGCCTGGTTCTGCTGTGCCCAAAGTCACACTGGGAGCACAGTCCACACAGGCCAGAGGACGTCGGGAGTCCCTGGATCAGGCCACACCTGATGCCAGTTCATTGTGCGCCAGTCAGGAAGGTAAGCTCTCTGTTGCTGAGGCCGGTTTGAGCTGGGCTTTCCGTCGCTTGCCCCGAAGGACCTGGCCCTGAGGCACCGTCTTGCATCTGAATGCCTACAGCAGCCCCTCGGGGTCCCCCGTCTTCTGTGCACCCCCTTCCAGCCAGCCCGAGCCTTCGTGTAGCCAGCACAAGCTGTCTCAGAACAGCTGACCACGTCCGCTGGAGAGAAGTCTGCCCTCCTTTGCCTGGCTGGGCCAGTTTGCACCCCTGTACCGTGTCCTTGGGCTCTCTGACTTCCGCTCTGCCCCGCAAACCCTTCTCTGGCTGTCAGAGCACCTCTTGAATGCCACCCACGCGGGAAGGTGCTCTGTTCCCCTGGGCCCTGGAGTGGCCCCCGCCAGGCATCCAGGCTCCCTTCTGTCCCAGCACCGTCCGGGCATCGTGGTGTGGCCACGGGCATGTGCTCTGGAGCCAGCCTGGGTCCAAATCTTGGCTCTGCCTCAGGCAAGCTGTGTGACCTTGACCACGGTACCCCACCTCTCTGTGCCCTGGCTGCTGCACCTGCCAAAGGGGATCCTAATGGCGCCAATGTCACAGGGTCCCCGAAGGCAGTACTGAGTGCCGGCCACTGCTGCCCTTGCCCCCTCCCCCATCAAGGCCAGGGGGCCCCGCGTGGCACAGGAGGAGGAAGGAAGCCGGGCAGGGGTGAGGAGGGAAGTCTCCCCCTCGGAGGGACTCACGGCCTCAAAGTGTGGTGGATGCCAAGGGGAGGGGCCTGCAGACAGATACGGCCCTTGTCACTGCCCCTCACACCCCACCCTCTGAGTCACCCACTGATGTGGGCTGATGAGTCTTATCACAGGCCAAGGTGTGGCCAGGGATGGTCTTTGAGGTCTCTAAGTGACATCAGTCATGACCTCATCCGATGGGAAGCCCAGGGCCTGGACAAGGGTCAGGTGACAACGTAGAGGCTGCCCAGAGTTTGGACAGCTCGGCCTGAGGACCAGGGCCCAGTGCCGCCGTCCGGCTCCCTGCAGAGGTGGAGGTGCGGGATGGGGGTGCCCAGGGAGAGGCAGACCCCGGTCCAGCCCAGGTCCAGCCTGGGTGCACTCAATTCCATTCTGATCGGTGTAGGTAACACTGTCTGACGCCCAGCATGCGCCAGCCCTGGGGAAAGGAGACCCTGTCCCCTCTCGGCAAGGGGCTGCCATCTGGAGCTGGATCAGACATGGCCTAGATGGTGGTCAGATTATACCCCGGAGCAAGGGCACTGTTCACAGCCAGAGCCCCCACCCACAGGCACAGGACCCGAAGTCCCACAGAAAGTATCCCCTTTGCCCCAGAATGTCAGGGTGTCCCCCAGCAGGTGCTCCTCATGAGCGCACGGATGAGGCAGGGTGCGGGACAGGATGCCCTCTGCTGTGGCCATGCCGGGTCCCTTCCCTCGCCCACGCTGACATAGGCTACGTTTTGTTAGAGGCTGCCACGGCAGTGTCTGGGGCCCTCGTCACACGGTTCTGAGGGCCTTCAGTCCCCCACAGATCCTCTCCCCTCTTCTAGAACCTTCTGGCCCTGCTGTGCTGTGTGCCCGTCACGTGGGCTGACCCCCGCCCATTCACCGAACAAAGGTTCACGGAGCTCTTCCCCTGTGATTGTGTTTTCCGGGGAGGCCCAGCGTGAGGCAGGCGTGTTCACGAGTGAGCGGGTGAGGCAGCTCTCACCTACTTCAGCATCTCAGCCCCTGCTCCCGAATCAGCTTCCAGGACTTTCTGCCAAGCCCGGGCACTACAGCCGAAGCCGTCGGCCTCCCACCCACGACCCCACCGGGAAATCCAGTTCACACCTTCTGACGAATGGAATTTCTTGTGGAAGCCCCAGGCCATCTTGTCCCTGGTCCCACCAAGGAGTATTTTATGGGGAGTCCCACAGGGCTCACTGTCAGGACACTGGCCACATCTTTCTGAGGCTCTCTGGGGAACCCTTCTCCCCTCCCGATGGTGAGAAAAGAGAGGCTGCTTGTTTTCATCACATGGACATCATGTTTCCCTCTTTGCCCTGGTGACTAGGAAGCTCAGAGCCACGTTTATGGGCACGGGCTGAAAAACACCATCTCATGGTAAGAATTCGTATATCAACTTCACCTCTGGCTTTCCATTACTTTTCTTCCTTTTTTTTTTTTTTTTTTTTTGCTTTGCTCTGTTTCTCCTTTTTATCTGTTCTTGTTCGTAAAGAGCCTTAAACATGGGGGGTGGGGGTAAGGGGGAGTAAATATACATGACTGAATGATAAATTTATGCAGACAAAATAACCTCCCAGCACTCGCGGGAGATGTTGGGGCGGGAGGGCGGCCAGAGTGTAGCAGAGAGGGCCCGGCGGGGTGCCCCGGGGCGCCAGCCCAGAAGCCCGGACTGAGGACAAGGTGCCTCCGGTCCCGCGTAGGTCCTGATGGCAGCAGAGCCTCCGCCCCTCGCCAAAGCGCCCCCCTTCAAGGAACGCGCACCCACAGGTGGGCAGGGCTCCGGGAGAGACTCAGATCCCGGGAAGGGGTTCCAAGGCCAGAGGGGAAGCTCGTGGGGGCGACCCGGTCTGCAGAGCGGGAGGCAGGAAGGAGCAGGAGCGGCAGGGGGCGCTGTTTCCACCGTCTCCGTTGCAGCTGCCCCTGATATCTGGAACTGGACGCCCCTGTGAGCCCGCAGAGCACTCTGCCCCCCCCTCCCCACCCAGCCCCTGCTCACTGCAGCCTCCCGGAGCCCAGCCACATAAGGGGAGAACAGAGACGACCCCAGGGACCACACCCCGCTTCTAAGCGCTGGAGGGAAGCTTGTATGCGTCCTTTCGCTCTGGGCCTCAGTTTCCCCATCCGTACAAGGAATGGATATCCCCTTAGCCAGGCGGTTGTAGAGGTCATAGGTGGCCATTGGGGGCAGTGTGGTCTTGAGGGAAGAGCTTGGACCTGCCTGGCAGAAAGGCCCAGAGCTGAGTCCTAGCCTGCCTGCCACACGCTGTGACCTTCCCCTTCTGCAGCCTCCCCATAAGGATCCTAATACCTGCCTCCTCGGCGCCGTGAATATTGAGTCAAATGATGTATGCAGGGCCCCCAGGGCCCAGAAGTAATAGTCGCTGTCACTCGTAAGTGACAGAGGCTCGTATGGCACTCGTCTGCAGCAGCCGCCAGCCCTGGAGCCTCTGTGGAGACTGTTTCCCCATCTGTAGACAAAGGGGCGAGAAGAAATGAGCTCCTGGCCCTGCCTGTGGTCTCTGTTCTTCTGGGCACCGTAGCGTCCAGGCACGCAGAAGCACTGCCCCGAGGGGTGACAGCACATTTCCAGGCCACCCTAGCCACTGCGGGCCCCCCCAAGTATCCCTTCTGCTCAGCACTGACTGGAAGTCTTGGCTGGTGACTCCGCCACTGGCCAGATGTTATTTAACATGCTCACCAAGAAGCCCGTGTATATCATGGACTGATTTGTCGTTCTATATATTTAATGCCCGTATCCCAGTAGCCCTTCTAACACTGTGCAGTCTGTTTTAAGCATTTTAAAAAAGCATCATGCTGCGAGCCAGCCTTCCCAGACTTCCCAGGGTGAGGATCCCCAGGGCCAGGGTTTGCACACGTGTGTTTTCTCCTGCCCAATGAGTCGCCACTCTGATTTGCTTCTGCTTCCGGAGCCTCTGACCAGGCGGTGACCAGCTCCTGGTGTGTCCTCTGCCAGACCCCAGTCCCATTGCTGCATAGCCCACCCCTTCCCTGGGGTCCTCCCACCAATCCTGGGAGGGAGCAAAGTGCTCTTCATTGCCCTTCTGGGCAGGGGGAAACTGAGGCCCAGAGCCGTAGCCAACTCCCAGGGTCACAGAGCAGGGAGAGCTAGGATTGGAAGCCCAGACAGAACTGTCAGACAGGGCAGACAGACTGTCACATCCTCCAAGCTGTAAAGAGTGAGAAGTCAGGCACAAGGCGGGCGCTTCCTGAAGGTCTGTCCCAGTGGAGGTGGGGAGCCAGGAGGGGTGACATCTGCCCTTCCAGCGCTGGAGCTGGGGGAGGGGGCGTGCTGGGGAGGAGGAGCAGGGAGATCTGACTTGTCCATGTCCCTGAGGACAGGAGGAGCTCAGGTCCTTGGAACCCGGGGCACGGACAGGGCTGGCACAGGGGCTTTGGGAGGGCCCGAGGCCTGTGCCTAGCGGACCCCTCCGCCCCGCGGGCCCCTCCGCCCCTCGGGCCCCGCCAGCTGACCCATATCCCACCTTTCCCAGGCCAGGCAGGCCGGGGGCCTGGTGGGTCCAGGCCGGGAGGGCCGGGCGGGGGCGGGCGGGGGCCGGCGGGGGCCGGGGCGGGGCTGGCCGAGGGGTCGGCCCGCCCCTTCCAGCGAGGGCGGGCCGCGCGCGCGCGCGCCTTTAAATGCGGCGGAGCCCCCCGGCTCGCAGTGGCGGCCCACAAGGAGCTGGCTCCTCCACGGCCCGCGCGCCCCCCCCGCATGCCCCTGTGGCCCCGCGGCCTGCCCGCCTGAGCCCCTGGCGCATGCGGCCGCGCGCCCGGCCCCGCGCCCTCCACAGGCGGCCGCCGCCCGGCCCCGGCACGGCCTCGGCGTCCCCGCTGGTCCCCGGCCGGCCCCCCGCGCTGCCGCCCGCCCCCGGCCCCGCCGCTATGCCGGCGCGCGCGCTGCTCCTGGCCGCGCTGGCCGCGCTGGCGCTGGCCCGAGAGCCCCCGGCGGCGCCGTGTCCCGCGCGCTGCGACGTGTCGCGGTGCCCGAGCCCCCGCTGCCCCGGCGGCTACGTGCCCGACCTGTGCAACTGCTGCCTGGTGTGCGCGGCCAGCGAGGGCGAGCCGTGCGGCCGCCCCCTCGACTCGCCGTGCGGGGAGAGCCTGGAGTGCGCGCGCGGCGTGTGCCGCTGCCGCTGGGCGCGCGCCGTGTGCGGCACCGACGGGCACACCTACGCCAACGTGTGCGCGCTGCAGGCGGCCAGCCGGCGCGCGCTGGAGCTCTCGGGGACGCCCGTGCGCCCGCTGCAGAAGGGCGCCTGCCCATCGGGTAAGCGCTCGCCCGGGCGACGGCCGCGGGGTGGGAGGGAGGGAAGGCGCCCCCGGGGGAAACTGAGGCGCAGAGCTAGGGAGGAGCCTCGAGGTCGGCACTGGCTGGGCACAAGGGGCAGAAATCATCTAACCTGACCCCTGGCCTTCCGGGTGGGGAAACTGAGGCCCAAAGTCACAGAAGTAGTTAAGAGTGAAACCCGGTGCCCTCCTGACCACCCTAGGGGTCTGGTCTAGCTCTCTGCTTCCCGGTCTCTCTCTGGCCCCATCAAAACGTAACTGTCTTGTGTATCATTTCTGCTGGTCCCATATTCCTGCTCTGTCCGGGTGCTGGGTGGAAAGCAATCTTTCCTGGCCTTAAATCTAACCCAGAACGGATGTTCTCTTGAGCGACATCCAGTGTTTCCTTTCTTTTTAGCTGCACTTAAGAGTTCACGTCTCTAGAGGGCTGTTTGGGAATGGTGAGCCAGCATGTGGGGTCTCTGAGTGGCTTGGGGCCTCCTGGGACAGGCTGCTGAATCAGGGACCTCCTTTGTCCCTTCAAACCCTAGGACAGCCTCCCCCACCCGGAGCTGGCCCAGAACTGCTTCTTGCCACACAGCTTGACCCTGTGCATGGAAGAAAATGCTAGAATACCCTGCCGCCCCTTTATTTGTTTAGGGCACTTCTTAGGAAGTCGGTTCAGTAGGTACTTGCGGTTGCCATGTGCTTGGGGCCGAGCCCCAAGTTCGCAGCGATGAGTCGAGCCCTGTGTACGCCCTCAGTTTCCAGCTGGTGGGGGGAGACTCTGACCACTGGGCCCGGCCTTGCGGGCCCTGGGAGCACCGTGGGGAGTCCAGCTGCCTGGGGTGCCGAGAAGCCTTCAGGGATGAGGAGGGTCTCAACTGAATCCCGCGGACGAGGGGGGACAGGTTCTCTGGGAAGAGGGGAGAGTGTGAGCCACCACGTGGGGAGCACAGAGCCAGGAGCAGCTGGTGGGGAGTGGGATGCATGGGGTGGGGGGTGCGACTCCCGCAGCTGGGCAGGCTGGTGGGGATGGAGGACGAATGGCCATAAGCGTCCTGCCATTGGCTTAGACTTCATCCTGTAGGCCAGACTTCCCCCAGTTGTGTCTGGTATTCTGAAAATAAGTGTCTCATGGCCCAGAAAGTTTGGGAACATAAACACCGTCCATGCAGTGGTGATTCACACTACCTTGGAGTCTATCAGAAGTTCTGAGAGAACCTGCAGTGAGAAAAACACAAACAAACCCACACACACAAAATCATAAAACCCAGGGTTTTCCAAGAGAATTTCAGCAGAGAGCTCTTCTTTCCTGGCAGAACACGTATGTGCTCCTCCTGGCACCCTGGGGTTCTGGGGAGCCCGGTCTGGGAAGACTGTGTAGGATTAAATATTATTTGGGGGGGCCAGTGAAGGGCTCTAAGGGAGGTGAGGGCGACAGTGTCTGTGTTTAGATCGTGCCCAGGAGAGCGAGGGATGAGGGCGCCAGGCCCCACGGAGCGTCTGAGACGGGCATTGGCATTGAATGAGCCACCATGGCCACACCTCACAGGTGGCCCTCTGCCCCGGGGCTTGGCACTGGGGGGGCCACCTCAGGCCATGCCAGTGGCTCCGAGAGACCGCAGGCTCAGGGCGAGGCGCGCCCGCCCACTACAGCTTGGTTGTGTCCATGGGGCCCCCCAACCCTGACTCCCCCGTGTGGGGGATGCTGTTAGAATAAGGTTCCAGGGCCAGGGGAGGGGAGGTCCCAAGCATTTCGAAACCCTCATTTTTTGAGGATGGAGTCCATATTTGTGAAGTACCTTGTCTGTGTGTCCAGCTGGCCCGGGGCTGGCGACAAGGGAACCATGATGGGCAGACCCCATCTGTGCCCTGGAGAAACTCGACAGCTGGGGAGACACGTGGGAGGGTGAGAAGACAGGAGGAGCCTGACCCCAGACAGGTGCAGAGGTCACTCCGCAGGTAGGAAGGGCACGATGGGAGGAAGGGGCTGCCAGCGTGGAGGTCACGGGCTGGGGCTCTAAGGCTACTGACCCCCGTCTCCTCTTCTGTAACGCGGGTGGGGCTGGCAGGGATCAATGAGCCAGGGTGTGTGGGCACGTGCCCCCTACTGAGCCCTCGGTAGACCACTTATTTGTTCACGGGTGACTGTCCCTGTTAGGACCACCACCGTGTCTGGTTTATCTGGCCAGGTCAGCTTCTGTGCTGAGCTGTGGAAGGTGAGTTGGAGCTCTCCCCGCAAAGGATGGGCGGAACAGGAGGGACCGGAGCAAAGCAGAGGCAGAAGGAGCGACCTCTCAGGCCCAGGCCTGACCCAGCCAGAGCCACAGGGGCAAGGAACCCGGGAGGGAGCCGGGGCCTTAAACAGGGGGGTGAGAGACCTCAGTGCTGCTGGGAGGGCGCTCGGGGCTGGGGTTGGTGCTCACTGTGCACGTTATGGTCTGTGTGGCCCCACCCTCGCTCCTGGGCCCTGTGCCATCAGATTGCCCCATGCACAGGGACTGCAGACATCCAGGTTTCTGCCAGTTACACTTGCTAAACCCAGCCCTTACAGAATACTTGCTGTGCTGGATGGGGTCTCTTGCTCGCGCTGTTTATCTGCCTCTGCCAATCTGGCCCTTCGTACAGCCCAGATGCGCTCAGGGAGGCAGGGGGCGGTCAAGTGATTGGTCTGAAGTCACTTGGCCAGGAAGTGACCGAGCCAGGCCAGGACCCCTGCTCTGGCTGGCTTTGAAGGCGGCGCTGTCACGGGGCCCAGGCTTTCTTCTGCAGGTGGGGGACAGCAGGGTCCCCGAGGGCTGGAGTCCGGGTCCGGCCAGGGTGTCCAGAGCCACGGGGCTCAGCCTTCATCGAGTGTCACTGACAGCGTCCACTCCATCCCTGCCCTCCCGAGGGTCTGTCCCGAGGTCACTGGGTGATGTCCACGTGTAGCGGCCGGCGAGGTGCTGCCCATCCCGGGCTTCTCTGCACAAAATCCCCACCGTCTCCACCCTCAACTGGGCCTGCCTTCAGATGTCCAGGCACTGACAACTCAGGTCCAGTCCCCAGTGCCCGGCTTGTCCTCTGCTGACCTGGTCCTCAGCCACACGTGTTTGTCATGTCACCTTCCCCTGGCTTCTTACTCCCATCCACAGGCGAGTCCTCAGCTCCACCTGGAACCTGCCCCGAGCCGCCCTCGATCCTCCTTGCCCCAGCACCACTGGCCTGCACCACCCCACCTCCCTCATCTCCCTCCTTCTCCCTGCAGTGACCATGATAACCTGGATCAATGCATTCTGCCCGTCCCCAGCAGGAACCCCTCGGCAGCTCCCCAGCACTGACTGACCCGCGAGGCCCTGTGCCGTCTGGCCCCTCCCACCCCGCAGTGCCACCTCATCCTCTGTGCTCCTGCCTGCCCTTCTGCTCCCCACCTCAGGGCCCTTGCACATGCTGGGCCTGCAGCCCCAGATGCCCATTCCTCACCTTCATGGAGCCATGTCCTCCTCTGTCTGGGCCTAGATGTCCCACCACCCCTGAGCCACCTTCCCTGACACCACACCCAGACAACCCCTTCCTCAGCCTCATGAGCACACCACGGGGTCCCAGCAGACCCTCCCTTCACCGGTGTGACCAGGCTTCTCTGCAGTGTCTCCATCTCACCGGCTCTGAGCCCTTGATTCCCTGCGAGGCCCGCTGCAGCACCCGGCGCATGGTAGGAACTGTGGATTGAACGGATCATCTGTTCAACAGGTGAATCCCCTACGACCCTCGGATCCTCCTTGCATACCCCCAGTGAAGGGGGCTCACTACCCTTCCAGGAGCTTTGCATATCCCCATCTCCCCTGGCAGCAGGGGGACTGCGTGGTGTGGAGAAGTGTCTGTCAGTGGGATAGTAACACGGAGATGAACGTGCTCAGCGTGTCTACAGGGAGAGGAGGCTTCCTTGTTCACCTAAGCAGAGCCCCGTGACCCTCAAAGCCTCCCTGCCCACGACTCAGACAAATAGGTCTATGTGCACACAATTAATTCAAAACTTAGAGCCCAAGGGCGATTTACAACGTGGCATTTGATAATCCGTGTGGATTGTGCAAGCCCAGCGCAGGTTCCGACGGTGTCTCTCCCTGTTTTATTTATTTAAGAGCTTTGCTCGATGTTTGAGTTCTAATTCCCTTCACGGCTTCCTGCGTATGTCTTGGATGGAATTCAGCGCCGGGGACCGGGCAGGATGACGCCTCCCGTCCTTCTCCCCCCCCTTGCCCTCATGCTAGACAGCAGAGCCCAGCTGCAGCCTCTGGACCTTCTGAGCCAGGAGCCCCGTCAGAGGGGAGCGGAGACCAGGGTACTGAGCAGCTGTGCTCTGTGACCAGGGTCCCAGGGAGCACCCCCACCCTCTGTGCTCCTGCCGTCGGCCTGGAGGTGCGCCCAGGGTCCCACAGCAAGCCCTGGGGTCTGCCTGCTCAGGCTTCTCCCCTTGCCCTGCACCTCCACACAGCGGCCCGAGGGGGTGTCGTAAGACTTGGATCTCCCTGCCCAAAGCCCAGCCATGGCTCCCACTGCCTTCAAGACCAAGCAAGCACAAACTTCTGATGCTGCCTGGCCTCGCCTTCCTGCCCGGCTTCATCACCGTTAGCAGATCCCTACGAAACCCCTGCTCCTGTCTCGTGAGGGACAGATGACTCTGTGTGGAACCCAGCTGAGGGAGACACCGCCGCCAGAATGGGGGAAGGGGAGATCAGGAAGGGCTTCCTACAGGAGGTAGCATACAGACAGCCATTGAGGGGTGGGCACAAAGAGCACCCGTGCAGAGAAGGATGGCGGGAAACACTGGGAGGATGACCCAGCATCAGGAGGCAAAGAGCCACCGAAGGTTTATGGGTAACAGGTGTGCAAAATGGCAGAGGGGGGCCCAGCTAGCGGGAGGCCAGTGCCCTGGGTGGGGAGAGCTGATGAGGCCTGAGGATGTCTGACGGGGGCTGGTCAGGGGGCTGTCGGGGCAGACGGATGGCGGGGCCTCTCCTG